TAGAGGAAATGCTCAGAGAGAAAGTGCTTTAAAAATGCCCTGTAGGCTCAGAACCTTTGATTCCATATAGCTCCCAGCCACCCCCTCAGTGCGCACTGTGATCTCACACTGTCTATTAAATGCACCAGCATTTTGCCGAATCTCAGTCAGCAATACTGTCTCTGCTTCTCCACCACTAAATCAAAGTTGCCAATATTTGCATTCTTCTTCTGCAAGGAAGGAAATCTATCTTCTTTCCTGTGTTTCCCACAGGCACAATTTAATTTCAATAAATTTGGTAGCTTTCTAATTGCTACTCCAATGTCCGTCCTCTCTACTTGAGTAAATCTTCAATCTTTGCCTAAATTGTGCAACTAACACAAGCTTAGACTACAGCATGCCTCAGTCAAAACTGATCACGAACTCCCCAACTTCCCTTTCTAATACAGCTTGCCTGTCCTTGTGCATGCACACACACATGCACACACGCCAGAACATATAAAATAATAACATGATCAAGTGCGTATTTTCCATCCATTGTTATAGCAATTAATACTAACATAGTTGTTTCAATGTGTTTTGTGATTTCACTGTCGTTAGTAATAAGAAGTTATTGTTTCTCCTGATTTAAAAAAAAAAAAACACTACATGGGCATTAGACATTAGAAAAATAAAAGTAAATAGAATTTGCAGCTACTGGTCTAGTTATATACTTCAATAGGTTATGAGACTCATCTACAATCAAAATTAAGTTGATCTCTATTGCAAAACTACTAAAATACTTCAATTTTTATTTTTTAAAAAGTATAAAATTTTCAAATTCTGATCTTGTAAAATATAAATAAGAAAACTAAGAGGGTGATTATAAAAAGTATAGAGATAACTAATGCTGGCAGGTGAAAATATAGAAAAGGGAGAATCTTAATGCAATGTTGGTGGAAATATAAATAGGTTCATTGACTATAGAAAACAGTATGGCGGTTTCTCCAAAAATAATAAAATAAAATACCACATGGTCCAGCAGTCTTACTTCTGGATATATATCTAAAAGGATAAAAGAGCTATTTTGAACAGATAACTGCACTCCCATGTCCATTACTGCATTATTCATAATAGACAATACATGAATACAACCTCAGTGTCCATCGACAGATGAATGGATAAAAAACATACATGTGTGTATATGTATACATGTAATATGTAAATCATATAAGAATTGAAACTTTGCCTTTTATGACAACCTTGAGGTCATTATGTAAGTGAAATAAGTCAAAGATAAATACTATATGATCTCATGTATAAGGGGAGTCTAGAAATAGTGAACTCATAGAAACAGCAATAATGAGAATGGTGGGCGTGAGAGGCTGAGGGGTAGGGAGAGGGGAGATTTTGGCCAAAGGCACAGACTTCCAGCTGTACAATGTTCCAGGAGTCTCACATGTAGCACGGTGACCAAAGTTAACAATGTCATACTGCCTACTTCAAAGTTGCTATGAGAGTAGAACTGGAATGCCATCGGTCGCCATATTGACTATCAGTGGTAATTGTGTGGGGTGAAAGACATCTTCACACTAGGGTGTAAACATTTTGCAATGTGTCAAATCATCACATTGATGATGTGATTTGTCAACGAAATCTCTACAAGCTGGGGAGGAGGGGAGACAGCAATATAAAGTCACATGGAAAAGGTAGTTTATAGGAGTCCTCACCATGCCTTACACTGGTCTTCATTCCATGAAGTGATCATAAATGAAAGTCCACAGCTTCAATGGCCTCATTCCTCTCCAGTTTCTTTGTGTTGGCTCTACTTTCCCGGCGTGTTCTTCGAAGCAAGCAGAGTACAGAGACCTCCCTTGCCTCTGTCTGGGCCAGTGATCGGCCCCAGCCTTCCTGCTAGTCTCCATCCCTGTTGGGACCAGCTATTTCCTACTGTGGTATACCAGGACTCTTTGCTATTCTTAGTCACCCTATTCTAAAGCTTTTTATTTTTTTTTAACTCTCTGAACATTATGCTATATCTACACCACATGACAATTTTACCAAGGCAGATTCAGATCCTACAAAGGGAAAGTTTACATTTTGGAAATAAGTTTAAAATTAGAAACTCTACTTCACCATATGTCCAAGCAACATTCTCCAGCTTGGTACCAGTTTTGAGAATTAAATAGATGAGTCAAGGACACGCTGAATCTATTTGTTTCCCTTGTGTTAAGCCTTCAATTTAACCAACATTAGGGAGAAGCTAGCATACAAGAGTTATTATGTTATCAATATTAGAGATGTTAGGTTAAATAAGACAGGCTCTCTTTTCTCAAATACTCATTCTTTCATGACAGAAGAGGGGTTTATAAGGAGTTGCTAAGTCAGAATCATTAAAACTAAAATATATATAGTTTCCATTTGCCGTAAAACATTGTATGACTTAACTCATAACAAATACATTCACATAGACTACAAGAAAGAACCAACATCATAAAACTACCTATGACCTCTGTCATGACATCATAAAGCTGCTAACCAAACTTAGGACTTGATCAGGACTGATCATAAAAATGTCATCCTCTGTCTGAAACAAATATACTCTTTAGAACTAAAGTTTCCATGGACACGTTAGTAAATGTGACTGATTTGTTCATAATATAGACTCTTCATTCATTTTTCTGGACCATCACATACACGAGAAGGCTTAATTGTTAACATAAAAGTTTTTATCAGCTGAAGTATTGGGTCACAAGAGCTTCACAGCTATAATCTGATACTGGGCCTTGTACGCAGAGACAAGGAAAGACGGAAGAGAAAAGCAGACCACACCATACTGGTAAGTAGAAGTTATAATAAAAAGGGACATTTGGGAGTCTTTGTCTTGGGCTGCCCTAACACAAGAGTTTTTTCCATGCTCAGCCCCAAATCTTAAACATTTATAGAGAGAGAGGCTTTAACTGGGTTTAATCAGGTGCACATGAGATGCCAATTACTGAATGGTGGGAAGTGTGGGGGTTGCAAGACCAAAGTTGAAGGAACTGGCTCATGGACACCACTAAGATGTCGAGTGTATTTGAGGGAAAACAGAAAGCGCATTTATTTCATAAAAGTGCACAATATTATGATTGGTGCTTAGTTCTTAACCAGACACTCAATAGCTATGTGATTACAGTCGTTAAGTATCCAATAGCCACAGAGAAAACCTAGGGAGTGAAAAAACAGGCACAGACAAGCTATTCCATAAGAATAATGCATGATCCAAAACTATGTAATAACTCAGTATGCTGCTCGTATCTGTGGGTCTCTAGATGGAGTGAATAGATTTTCTATCGCTGCCTGATTCTAACTACTAGAATTTGTGGGGCTTCACGAATCCCCACTTCACTGGGAAAGCCTCGAACAGACATCTTTTATCCAATAACATGTGGAGGGATGTAACACATGCTGGCTAATTTAATTAATGTATCATGACTTGACTTAGAGCTACTCTCCCCAAAGTCTAGAGAAAGTCTAGCAAACCTAATGGAAACCCAATCACAAATGGCATTGGCAAGTAGCATTCATTCCAGAGGCTCTCTTTTTTTTTAACAGGATGTTTTTGAAAATGCACCATTCAGACTAGGTTTTTCTTACACGCAGAATATTTTTTATGTAGGACCCCTTTTTATAGATTCATGCATACTTGTCCTAGTAACAAGGCATTTGCATGCTTAGTGACATTAAAACAGATGTACAAATTTATAATATAAGACAGTCAATATGGAAAGGCAAATGAAATGAATCATTAGAGATGTGCAAAATTTGCTTATCTATATGTATGTGATTATATCAAACAAAAAGGGTAATTTAAAAGTATAAGAGATTTTAAAAATTATGTAACAAATTATAAAACTGACAGAAATCAGTTGCATTGAAATGCTTTTATTTCAAAGGCATTCATCCCACAGTTTTGGACCCTTTTTGGAAAAAAAAAGTATGAGTCTGAGGAATATAATGTTGAAGGAATAAAAGTAATAAAACAAAACAGCAACCACTAATACAGCTTTACAGCAATACCCACACATTCCCTACCATGTGCCAGCGCTCTAAGTACTTTACATAAATTAACATCATTAACTCTCACTACAGCCCTAAGAGAAGATTATTATCAGTAAGAATCAGAGCCAGGATTTTAACTCAAATATTCAGAACCCACTGTCTGTGCTCTTAACCAGTAAGGAATAAACACGGACAAGCCAGTTCCCTTAGCAAACCATGTGGTCAAAGTGGACCATATGACATACTACATTCTACCTCAACAATCATCAGCTTAGTATGGGACAAAAATTAACAAATCTCACAGTCAACTAACTTCATGACCCACCTAATGACACCCTGGCATAAACTAAACTACATCTATGTTTCCCTTAATCTCAGAGTTGGTATTATTAGTTTTATGTTGCTGATGTAATAAACTGACACATACTTAGTGGTCTAATACCACACAACTTTATTATCTTGTAATTCTAGAGATCAGAAGTCTCACTACACTAAAAAAAAATGCCAGAGACCCCAGGGAGAATCCATTTCCTTTTCTTCTCTAGCTTCTAGATGTCACCCTATTCCCTGGTTTGTTCTCCATCTTTCCAACTTCACAGCAACAAGGTCACCCTGAGTCCTTTTAATGCAGACCTCTCTCTTTCATTTATCAAGCCCTTGGTGATTACATTGGATTCATGTATAAAACCAAGGATAATCTCAAGGTCACCTGATTAGCAACTGACCTTTCTAATATTACTTTTATGAAGAGCTTATATTTACTTCTATTTTATATACAGAGAAAACTGAAGCTTAATCTCTTCAGCAGGATCACACAGAGAGTGAATTCATAGAGGCTCTGAAGACGACAAGTCCCAACTTTAAGATCCATTCTATTTTTAAAAGCAGATTTAAACACAAGCCACATTAATATTCTCATTCACATTAAGAATTATCAATTCCGCAAACATGACTTGGAATAACTAGAAAAAAGTAAACGTATTTACACAGCGAATACTCACAATGTAACTCTTGATTGGCACAGAGTCCTAAAGTCCTTTGGTTTCTGAGATTTCCATATAAGGTTTCACAGGAAAGAATCACATCTTAATTCTGACCCCTGGAAGAAGCAGAAAATAAGAGAAACCATCTAAGTGTTCTGATGCATATTTTTTAAAAAATGAAAAAAAAATATTAAATTGCATCTCTGAAACATTGTGTGTGTTTATAAAGTAGTAATGTGAAATTTTTATATAACTACATTAAAACTTTATTGATATTAATTTAGAAAACTGAAAAAGCATTTCAGAAAGATTTTTAATGTCTGACAATAAGGCAGAAAAACTTTAAAAATCATTAAAGTTTGATCATCAATTCTCATCATCAATTTCATTATGTGAAACTTGAAAAAGTTTTTCACTTCTCTGACAATTCCCTTACCTGGAAAAAAAAAAAAAAAAGGAGCAGTATTTAAGTCAAAATTGTGGCTATCAAGTTGGCTAATATTTGCAAAGTGCTAGCAGAGTTTGGCAACAAATTAATAATAACAAGAAAGAAGGCAATACATATGAACAGTTGGTACTTAGGAGAGTGAAAAAAAATTAATTTATGTAGAAGGATATTTGATCCTTGCTGATTCCCAACTTGAAAATAAAACTTGTTTTTTATATAAGTCTTATTAAACCAATGTGATTAATCAACTTTCAGATACAATCCAGAAATATCAGATTGCTTTAGAGCAGCACAGAGTAGTGAAATAGTGAAAGACTATTAAAATATTTTTCACAAAAGCAAAGATTAAAAAGGGGAACAGAGATAACACAATGTCCTTTAGAGAGCATTTGTAATGTTACCTGAGTTGACCAGAGAACGCATGACCTTGTAATCTAAAATGGAAGGAATTTTGGACTGGCAGTCAATCTGTTTACTGTGTAAGTTTCAAGACTATAATAAGCAGACTAGTTACATATGATGGTCTCATTTAGTAAATATAAAAGGACAACCTGTCAATTCCGCATGCAAAGAATTTCATTATAGAGAAAATTAAATTCATTTGCTTTTAGAATCAGTATTAAAATGTCTTACAAAATTACTAGTATTAATAGAACATAATAAGTAAAAGTTATATAATAAAGTTAGCATGTTGAAAAACATAACATCTTGCTACAATTACTTTTCTTTTTTGTGAGTGACTGCCATTAAAATAGTTAATTTTGAATTCATTTCATTTATAGACATGATGATATATTGGTATTATTTGCTACAATCCACTTGACTGCATAATTACATTTTATCCCATGCCTTAAAAACATCTCTCATATTTTGATTCTTAGGTAGGGTAAAATAATATTCCTAATATTTGAACGTGAGATGAGGAAGATTTGTCCTTTTCTTTTTATCTCAACTATAAGGTTATCTTAACAACTTGAATTTAGAAATCTCCTGATTTTACTCTAGAACATTAAACTGTCCAATAATTTTTAATTTATAATACTGCGTTATGCCAAATAGGGCAGCAAAAGATTTTTCATTTACTTCAATGTGCAACTCCATTTTTTTTAAACAGAAATGTGAATAAATGTTAAAAGCTAAATGTTTGTGGATCAATGTCAATAAGAACTAATTTGACAGCCACGTGATTATGGGTACTATATAAAGATATAAAGAGAAGTAGAAAAATGAAATATTTTCTAAAGGTTGATACTTTTTGACCTTCTGAACAGCTTTTACTTTGTACAAAGGTTAGAATATATGATCTTCTGAAATATGCAAGTTTAAACCACATGTAGGTTTTACAAAGAATTTTACTTATTTAAAAAAAAAATCTCATTTTATAATTCCCTTACTATAAACCCAATTCCAAAAACTTAGAAGATATCCCTGGAAAAACCCAAAAGTTAAGAGAAATTCCTTGGCCATTTTACTGAAAATTAATACAAATAAGAAGAGGAAATTTCTGGAAGTATCTATTAATGTTCAAGTTTGTATACAATTATCACTTAGGAAAACACTATATTTCTAATTTTGTAATTTCAGGGAATATTATCCGGGCGATGAAAACGGTCAAACTTTTAAAGAAGACCCAACAACTATTTCAACACTGTGTGGTGTGATAATGTTTTGCATATGGTCATCTCATAATTAACCGACTTTGTAAATTTAGTTCAACTAAGACATAATCTCCAGGGCCCATAATCTTTTTCTAACTCACAAACTGTATTGAGACATAAATAAAACTCATTTTTACAAAGAAAGGTGTCTATTAAGGCAGGTAATAATATATAATGTAGACGACAGCAATATACTACTCATGTTTACACGTTTGGTTATAACCTAGAGTGATAAATATCAAAAGTCGTATCAGGTAAAGTAGGTAATTTTAGTGGCACAGTTGACAACGTGGGCCAAAATCCTCAAAAAATAAGCAACACCTTTAGAAGTCATTATAGAGCTAACTAAAATATAGAACACTTGGTAAACCCACTCCCAAATTTTCAGGAGAAATAGCAGATAACCCTACTCAGAGAAGGAAGACTTTCCCCTGAACTTAATAGCAACATCCAATCATTTTTGTAAATATTCAGTGTTCATTAGGGCTTAACAAAAAGTCCCTTGGATGAATTATTCATTTATACCTGAATCATAATCCCATACTTTACGATAATATTTAGCATTAATAAGAAAGCGCAAAATAACCAAGAACCATCTATTATTTTCTTTTAAATTCCCTTCTCCTCTCGCTCCGTCCGTTCCTCACAACCTAGAAAACATGTTTGTTTTGGAAGCAAAGGACAAGCACTTAAAGTGAGTGATTAATGATGAAGAAAAAAATTTAAAAATCACATCAGCTGATAAGTGGCTGAGTGACCCAAGGCTGGAGAATGTGCAGACAGAACGGCCAAAAGCTGAAAAGTAACATTCCTTTCGCTGTTGAAAGACACGCATGGGATGTCACTGCATTCGGCCAGAGATCCAAACCAATCATTGTTCTGCGTTTACACAACCACCAAAGAGAATCTTTGAAAGTCACAGGAGACAGATCCTCAATCCCTCCCGCTCTGCATGGAGTCATTTTCATGGCTGCCTTCAAGGAACGCCACTGCTCTCCTCCCGGAGTCCTATAACCTGACTCCAGACAAGAACAATAACATTACAGACGTGGCATCTATGGAATGGACTCACACAACCTTAGAATGATCATAAAGTAGGAAAACACTCGGGAAAAAGTTCTGATTGCAGAACTTTAGCAGAACTATTGAACGTACTGATCTCGTTCACATATCTTTATTATGGAGCTATAAATCGCCTGCCCTTCTCATTGGGGAAGTCAAAAATGTCAGAAAATCAATGGTTATTGAAAACAAATATGATTTCTCTAGTTTTGTACTGGAAATTGATCATGAAGAAGGACAAAGCTCAAAGCACATCTCAGAAAACTTGTCTGTCGGAAAGTCACCAAGCTGAGCTTAGGTTTCTGTGGTCCAGGAGGGGGTGGTTGTCAGAGAGGAAATGAGAAACCAGCTAACCAGATAGGAGCTACCATTGACTCTCGTCTTCCCTCCAGCCAAATTACATTTATCGTTTATTCTAGGAAGCAAACTGCTTACCTTTTAAAGCAAATCTTTATTTATTTATGCACACAAGAGCTGGGGTGCAGGCCAGAGGTGTGGGGGTGAGAGGCTTCCCCAGAGACAGAGTGGGGAGCAGAACAGGCAGATCCACTGAAATCCACTGCTGAGGGGAGCAGCGGGGAGACAGGAGGGGTCTGCTGCGCCATTGGGTTGCTCCCTGGCTGGCCAGGGATCGAACTCGTGCTGCAGTGACTGCGGATTGCTTCACAGTGCTGTGCTTAACTCCTTGCGCCACCAGGGAAACCCTCTAGGAAGCAAATTGTACTCCAGAAACTTTAGCAATGTTATTATCGTATATAATTAGGACGGACAGCGTGTGCCTCAAAGACCTCCAGCTAGAGAAAGTATAATCAACCAAGTTGTGAATTTCATTGCTGAGACAGCACAGGCCACACTTGACCTGCTGCTCTCACACCCGAGCAGACCACAGGCAGGAACGCAGACCATTCCTGGGATATAGGGAGATGCCCCATGACTGATTCAGGCCGGAGCGCTCACCCAGAGCTTTGGCTGGCACACGTTGGGTATTCCTTAGCTATCAACAGCTCTCTTTGTAGAAGATAAACAATATTATCATGGAATCGTCTATCCCAGGTTGTCGCACAAACATCAAAAATTGAACTCCGTGCAAAACTCAGTTTTAAGTGATTTTCAAATTCCTAATGTAGGTCCAAAAATATTGGACTACAGGAAATGGATTAGAAAACTACAGAGGTAACCCTAGACATTCAACAGCTAAATGGTCTCTGATTCTCACAATTACTCCTTGATAAGCCTGATATCTCCATTTTATAGAAAAGGGAACAGCAGGCTTAGGGAAACCGGGTTCTCAGTTACACAATTACAGGCTCAAGTCAATACCCCATTCTCTATGTTTGATCACACGCTCCACAATCAGCACACAGTTAGAAGCCATCTCTCTCGTGAAAAGACCCTGAATACTTGCACCAGCAATTAATGAGTGTAAAATTAGAATCTTTTAAGTAAAAAATATTATTAAACAAGGTCACAAAACCAAAGGTATCAATGCAGTTAATTTCATCCAAATCTGATATTGAGCTGAGCAGAAAAAGCATGTGCATCAGCCCGGCACCTCCAGAATGAAGGGCAGGGCCACCTTCACTAATCCAAACATTAATGTGGCTGGATTCAGGTCATGCAATTTTTTATAGAACCAAAATAGTAAGACGCCTTTAAACAGAAGTGAAATTTACTAATTTGAAGCCACCAAATTCCACAGAGGCGTCTTGTGTTTGCACTTTCAAGTCTTAAATAAATTGTTTGTTATAACCAGCAATCCTCTCCCTCAACCTCACACCTGCACGGCACAGGACCTTCCCCCACTTTATTCACACTCTCCAACCTGCCAGTCTCCTCTTGACGTCCTTTCCAGTATTTTCCACTGTGTCCTCCCTGCCACGCTGCTGCCACCGTTTCTTTCTATATAAACAAACTTCCTTCTTCCTAACTCGGACACCGTGGTGTTGCC